GTGATTTGCGTCTCCCAAAAAGCTATGTCCAAGTCCTAATTCCTGGTACCACTGAATGTGAACTTACTTGGGAAAAAAAAAGTCTTTGCAGGTAATTTGTGATGAAGTTGAGGATCTCAAGATGAGATCATCTTGGATTTAGGGAGGGCCCTAAATTTGATGACAGATGTCTTTGTGAAAAAGGGAAAGATGGGGCTGGGCACAGTGGTTCATGCCTATAATCCAAGCACTTTGGGAGGCCAAAGTGGGTGGATCACCTGAGGTCAGGAGTTTGAGACCAGCCTGGCCAAGATGGCAAAACTAGTACTCTACTAAAAACACAAAAATTAGCCAGCCATTGTGGCACACGTCTGTAGTGTCAGCTACTCAGGAGGCTAGGGCAGGAAAATCACTTGAACCTGGGAAGCAGAAGTTGCAATGAACCAAGATCTCACCATTGTACTCCAGCCCAAGTACAGAGCAAGACTCTGTCTCAAAAAAAAAAAAAAAAAGAAGAAGAAAAGGGAAAGACACAGGGACCTAGAGAGGGGAAGTTCGTATGAAGATGAAGGCAGAGATTGGAGTGATGTTTCTTCAAAACAAGCAACACCAAAGATTGACCACAGCCACTAGAAGCTAAGAGAAAGATCTGGAAGGTATCCTCCCTCAAAGCCTCCAGAGGGAACAAACCCTGCCAACTGATTTGAGAAAGTAATTTTCTGCTGTTTTAAGCCACCAAATTTGTTACAGCAGGCCTAGGAAACCAACATATCCCCTTAGCCTGATCTTGAAGATCCCTGTTAATCTGGTTTTAACCTACGTTTTCAACATTGTCTCCTGCCAGTATCCTTTACAGCTTCCCCCACTTCTGTATCCTTCCAGTCCCTTGATCATGCAGTGAATATTTGTGCGTTTTGTCTTTTCTAATGTGATCCCTTTCCCTTGTCTAAAACTCCTATGTCTTCTCTATTCTTTCAAATCCTAATCCTGAAACGAAAGGCCCATCATAGTCTACAGTGATTTGTTTCCTATTTTGAATGCTTATCAAACAATTTGACATTGAATCATATTTTGTGCACACAGTGTTTGGTTTTCTTTTCACATATGTGTGACTTTCCTTGAGGGCAGAATGATTTTTGCAACATAGAAACTGTAGATTAAATGAGTGAAAACAGCAAGCATGGACAGAGAAAGCAGGTGTTTGGGATGAATTATGTCCCCCTTATTTGCAAATTCATATGTTGAAACCTAACTCCCAGTACCTTAAGATGTGACTGTATTTGGAGATCTTTAATGTGACCCTTTAAAGAGAAAATTAAGGTGAAATGAGGCCATAGGTGTGGGCCCTAATCCAATTTGATTGGTGTCCTTATGAAGGAGAGCCTAGGATACACAGGGACAGACAGTAGGGGTGCACATGCACACAGAGGGACAACCATACCATGGGCAGAGGCAGCAGAGGGCAGCCAGCTGCAAGTGCAGGGAAGAGGTTTGGAAAGAACATTCCTTTAGGACTCTCAGAGGAAACCAACTCTGCCAGCAGCCTGATCTTGGACTTCCAACCTTCAGAACTGTGAGAAATTACATTTCTGTTGTTTAGGCCACCCAGTCTGTGCTATTTTGTTACGGCAATGCTAGAAAACTAATGCAGCAAGTAAAAGGCTTAGATTAGGCACTGAAAAAATAAGAGAGGAGGCCGAGGTAAGAGGATTGCTTGAAGCCAGCAGTGTGAGACCAGTCTAGGCAACATAATGAGAACTTGTCTCTGCAAAAATAAAAAATAAAAAATAAAAAATTAGCCCAGAGTGGTGATGTGTACTTTTAGTTCTAGTTACTCAGAAGGCTGAGGTAGAAGATTGCTTGAGCCCAGGATTTCAAGGTTGTGGTGAGCTGTTTGTACCACTGCACTCCAGCCTGGATGACAGAGTGAAAACTTGTCTCAGAATAAAATAAAATTTAAAAAAAGGGAGAAATAAGACTAACATATTTTCTACCTGAATTGATGACATTATCTTCTCTCAAGTACCAGCCATAATCCTAAAATGGTAAACTATTTGACAGAGCCCTTAGTAAAGGCCAGTGACTTCTGGGTTTATTATACAAGCAGTATCACTTTAGTATAAATTACAAAGAGATCTGAGCGTGGAACTGGGACCTGGCCTCTACCACTCTTTATCTTTTTCTAGATTGTTATTATTGTCTAACCTAGAGTCAGGAAGTTAATTGATAGTCTTATGAGTTAATTTACTAATCTAAAATTGTAAAAGGGTTAGTCATGGGGTTTAAGCCCATGCATTTTCTAGGATTAGTTATAAGAGTACAAAGATTAGTAGGTCTATTGTGTTGCTTGGCAAAAATCGGGACATCGGTTATTTTATTTTTTACATATTTTTGCAAAGCTCAGAGCAGTTTATGCTTTCTCTTCCTTATTCTTTTGCCACCCATAACCATCAATGCTTAGAGAAAAAGATGCATTAGAATTGATTCCGTGTTATGCAAATTAAATTTGGAATCTTAGGCTCCCAAATTGGGAAGTAATTTTTAAAGGTTCCTTGATAGAATGTAGTACGTCCAGCAGAAGGCATCAAAAAATGGTGAGAACCTTACACACTGAGATACTTGAGGGTAGTTGAAGGAGCAGACATCTCATCAGAAATACATGGAGGGCTCTCTATTGTATGAAAATATTAGCTTGTTCTCCATGGCTCCAGAGGTAAGAGTCGGCCTAAAAGATGGATCTTGCTGATTTCATTTCAACATTGAATGCTGATTTCATTTCAACATTAAAACTTCCACTATGTAGTTTAATCTCTTAAGGACCAGAAATAATGTAGAGTAGAGGCCTATTGAGTGGTGACTGATGTAGCCTAGTGGTTAAGAGCCTTTTAGAGTCCTAGCTTTACTACTTATTAGTTCTGTGACTTAGTCAAGGCACTTAACTTTCCTTAGCTTTGGCATCCCCATCAAAATGGCGTTACTGCTTGTGCCTACCTCATTTTGAGTATTAGATAAAATAACGCATGTAAACTGATGAGGAAGCTGATCCTGAGCTGGGCGGTTTCACGTATTTAGTCACAAATTTCATCAATGCTTGTGCCCAGTTTTAAGCCCCAGCTTGTTTAACTTCATTATGCCACTTTGTTTCCAAATTTCCTTCACATAAATAAAGGGGAAAAAATATAAATGGGATGGCTGAGGTGAGTACATTGAAAGGGAAAGGAGTTAATCTCACTGTTTAAGTTTAGCCACACAGTTAATGAAATGGCCTTATCAATGAAGTTATCCTGTTTCAACACCAAAAGGAGCAATTTCTTCTCCATCATCCCAAATTCCCACCTTCTCTGCCTCCTCTCTTCATCACTCTTTAGTCACTAGCAGGCTAGGTAGGGTGTTCCTAATCTGCAACTGGAATGTTTCTGGTAGGAGCCATTTCTCACCCACTCTTTGTCCTCTTCTATCACTTAAAATCATGGAAGGCTGTTCTGAAAGCAGCTGGGCTTTCAAATCTGGGCTCATTGCAACATTAAAAAATTATTAAACTCAGAAACTAATTCTGTTTTTTAATCATAAAATATGAAAACTAGGAAGCAAACTGGAAGAATGAAAGACCAAGTCAGCTGGATCTGAAGCGGGCCATTCTCAGGAAGACTACTGAGGAATAATGAAGGCTAATTTGAAGTATCACCTCCTGGGTATCACCATCATCATCCCCAGGTACCTGAGATAGTTCATTTTGAAATAGATACACCTGAAATTATGTTAAAATGTACTAAGCACTTACTGAGCTCAGCAATCCTGAAATATGCCTAATAGTAAGCTGCCTAGTTGCCACTTATTAACTAGGTTTATGTCTAGGAGGGACTGTGGAGAATAAGAGCTGTTTAATTAGGGGTACTTGTCATCACTAATGAACAACAAGAAATGGTTTTAAAACTTCTTTGAGATATTCACTTGCAAATGTCACCCGAGTTTCAGAAAAGTACAGTCTCTGGAGTAAATCTCCTACACACTCAGAGAGACTCTGTTGTGCTTTGCATGTGTTACATCATTTAGTCCTCAAAACACGTTGGCAAGGTGTGCATTATTATCTCCATTTTAAAGATGAGAAAATTAGGTGCAAAGAGCTTCAGTAACACACTCAAACTCATTCAACAATAAATAACTAAAAATTGTGCTATACACACTTTAAGAGTCACGTGTTCCTCCCCCAAAATTATGAAAGGCCATAGAAGGAATTCAAGCAGTAGGCTTCATGACATATCGTTTCTTCTCATCTCAGATGAATTCACTTTAATCTATCATGCCCACATTGTAAAATATCATTTTGATCACCGTCAATATTACACAGACCTGTTTCAATGTGCTCAGGTTTTTCAGTAAAATTAGAAGAAACCACAATTTACAAACAGGTATATGTGCATTAAGAAAAAAAAAAAAACTACCATGTGATTTTAGATATGGATGCCAATTCTTAAACATTATTTATTATTTCTGAGTTCTAGTGCTTAGAATGTTTAAAATGCAATATATTTATGTGGATTTTTTCCAGGATATTGGAACATACATAAAATATGCTTGTGCATATCTAAGCTTTGTATTTATTTCAGGTTATATGTATACTGAGAAGAATATATAAACAGTGTATGATGGTTACATCTTATTTCATTTTTTGAGGGAAATTAACCTCCACAATTATTAACTATGCATAAAATGTAATGGCAGATATGACTTATATTGTATAGGACTGACTGCAATTCCTCTTTAGAAATAGTTGTTCTTTGCTTTTATAATACTAGGAAAAGAGGAGAAGAGTTCTTAAAGAAATACAAGGATTCCTCAAGCCCCTCTTCCCTAAAACATGCTCTATCATATCTCCTGGATTGACTGGAATATCCTTCTCTGCCCCCACCCCATTACCCTCTCAATGCAGTGGAAAAGTCGGTGGGTAATTGGGTCCAGATTGGAGGTGTTTAAATATTCATGAGGCTGGCAGGGGACTGGGAGGGGGTGACTGTCTAGAATGGGGGTAGGGGCTGGGGGAAGTGATTAGTCACTGAAGGCTAGCGAGCAATTCCGAGAAAGAGACGGAGAGAGAGGGAAGAAAAAGACAGACAGACAGATACTGGGGGGAAGGAGAAAAAAGGAGAAGAGAGGGAAGAGAAGAGAGGACAGCGGAGAGAGAGCACCAGAGAGAGAGAGCGCGCTAGAGAGAGAGAGCGAGCATGTGCGATGAGCAATAGCTGTGGACCTTACAGTTGCTGCTAACTGCCCTGGTGTGTGTGAGGGAGAGAGAGGGAGGGAGGGAGAGAGAGCGCGCTAGCGCGAGAGAGCGAGTGAGCAAGCGAGCAGAAAAGAGGTGGAGAGGGGGGGAATAAGAAAGAGAGAGAAGGAAAGGAGAGAAGGCAGGAAGAAGGCAAGGGACGAGACAACCATGCTGTGCTGTATGAGAAGAACCAAACAGGTAGAGCTAAAGATTTTTACTTCTTGCTGTTGTGGAATAACCAGAGTACAGTATTTCCCTGTAAAGGCAAACAATTTTTTTTACTGCTTCTGCTCTGGCCATGGTGCTCGCGCTTCCTTAGCATATGGTAACTGATGGTTGCATCCCAGCTTTTATTCTTTTCTGTCTTTCATGCTCTGGTTTTGGAATGCTGCTACTAATTAGGGTGAGGGTAGAAAAAACATGCCTGTTTGGCTAGAAATAATTTTTTTTTTTTTTTTTTTTTTTTTTTTTTTTTTTTTTTTTTTTTTTTCTTTTCAGTCTTTCATGCTCTGTTTGTGGAATGCTGCTACTAATTAGGTGAGGAAAACATGCCTGCTCTGGCCAGAAAATAATTTCTGCTTATTAGTGAATGCCTGTGCGCCTATGGCCCTGGTCCTTGAGGTGTGACACCCAGCAAAAGTGTGGAGATGCGATGTGGCCCCACCCACAAGATGGGAAAAATTCCTTTTTTACATTGCCTAAGTGGCTGAAGGTGTCAACACATATGCACCTGAGCACACTCCGTCACAACAACCCTCAATATAAAAGCGTTTTTTTTTTTTTTTTTTTTTTTTTTTTTTTTTTTTTTTGCTTATTAGTGAATGCTCAGCGTTTGAGGTCTCTGGTCTTGAGGGTGTGGACGTAGAAAGGGGTGTGGGGGAGATGATGTGGGCTCTACCTACAAGATGGGGAGGCAATTCTTTATATTGTTTGCAAAAAGCAGGGTTGAGGAAATAATATGCAGGACTGAGTATTACCTCTCTGTCATACAATTTTCTCACATGTGCTGCGGAAGATGCCTTATTTCGTACATGCATGAGCTTCGAAGGGGCGCAGGTATTTATGGAAAAACGTGCAGGTCTTATTTGTTTATTTATTTATTTTTCAATGAATGAATGAAACTATGATTTGATAGATTTTTTTTTTTTTTTAAGAGAAGCTAAGACAACTGGGGCTGGGGGAGAAATTGGCCATGCCGAAGGGGAAAATCCCCTTCCTTAAGATCAGCAGCCGATTGTGCACCAGCTGGTCGGAGGAGAGGGTGGACCACGCCCCTAGGAGCTCGGATGGGATGGGAAAGACAGCCGGGTGTTACCTGTTGGAAACCAGGTCTTTTCTCTTCTCCCCTTCCCTTGCTTCTTTCCTGGGATTGTCAGTGACCAGAGACAGGCTAACATCCTGGATAATAAGTATGGTGACTCATTTTCATCAGGAAGAGGGACACATCCAAGATTAGGAAGAATCAGAGCCCCTCCTTCCCTCCCCCACTGCCCAGGTTTTACAGCCATTTCAATTGCTCGCTTATTTCTTGAAAGACATTTTAGAAACTTGACTGGGGTGAGAGTGGGAAGGAATGACGAGTGTGGTATTCCGCAGCAACCGACCATGCCATGACAGTCTCCAAAAGAAGCTTTCAAACATTTGTTGGAATGCATTTGAGTGATTTTGGCGAAGGTTAAGGAGAAAAATGGGTGTGGGATATGGGTGAGTGTGTGCGTGTGCTTGACTGTGGTGGGGGTGGGGGTGTGGTGGGAGCAATCTTGGTCAAAGAAGCCCTTTGCAGACTGATTGCCTTAGGGGTGGGGTGCAAGAGATGGAATTTGGGTATAATTTCCAGTGCAGGTATTGGAAATTGGGCAATTTGTAATACTCTCTGAATCCGAAGGGGGTGGAAGAGAGTGGAGAAGAAGCAGCCTGCCAGCTTAGCACATTTAGCCAGCGCCCTGGAAGGAAGGGTGGGGAGTGAGGATGAAGGAGAAGGAGCAGGAAGAGGAAGGGAGACTGAAGCAGAATGAGCAGAATGTCAGAGCAATGGGAGTAGAGGTTTGGCATAAATAAATAAATAAAGTAGCAGACATCCTGGATTGTGTGGGGCTATTTGGGGGAAATGTCGGATAGTGGGGGATTGAGTGGGGGGCAGTATTTGCAGCATCTCCTGAAACTGCCCTATGGTTACAGAGATTGATGCTTCCATTGGCTCATTTTATCAAACCAGGGCATTTTCTCTCCGTGTCCTCCTTCATTTTAATATATAAATGTAATAAATACAGGTGTCTGGGTTAAGAACACTGTCAAAGAAAAGTCCTGAGGTTATTTCACTGGTGAGCTGGGGAAATAAAATTTAGGAAGGTAGAGCACTAAGTAAGCCAAAGCTATCCACTTAAAAAGCTTTGATTTTGGAAAGAAAAATATTCAGGTTCAAAATTTGTTCTCACCCTATGTGTACGCATGCGAGTATACATACATCTCCTTTAATAGAGGAAATCATGTATGATTTTTAGAAAAGGAATTAGAGCTAAAGGAATTCCCTTCCCAAAATGAAGACAACTGCCTTCCCTGGGGCTCTATTTCAGCAACAGCCTCAAGCATTTACTCTGATGTGCAAAGTGGTGAAGATGAAATTGTGTGTTTAAAGTTGCAGAAATTCTCATGTAAATGCATACAGCATCCACATACTTCATATGCTACAGTTGCATGTGTAAGTGTGGTTTCCACATGCCTCCCTGTGTTTTAGCATCATTTATATTCGAGAGAAAAATAAAGGTATAGAAATTGTCCTGTTTTGCTCATGCATTTTATAAATGTGTACTTCTGTGTGAAATGCTCATGTCTCTTATATACCACTGTTGTGTATCATTCACATTAGCCAGTATTTAGGATACCATTCAATCAGACTACAGGAAATGGTGTATTCAGGGCGTGGGCTCACACTACACTCACTGGCATTTATGTAGCATGAGTACTTAAGTCTCACGCAGGTTGCCAGCTTGTGGATGAAACTCTATATCATTTATGACAAAATCCAGTGGTGTCCATCCTTCTGCTGGCATCTATTCATCATCTTAGTACTTAACAGGGAATAAAACAAGGGCAAAAACCTGCAAAGGTCTAAGCTCTGCCACACCCATAAAATCCAGCAGAAATGTGGGAGGGGGCTGAAGGGCTTGCACTTCCTTCCTCTTCCACTTGAGCGGCATAAAGAAGCAACCTTGGATTTCTAAGTTGGAATACATTGCCAGTGGGTGAGAAGAAAGCATAAATGATCTATATTAGCCATTAGTTATCACTATAGATTAGTATAGCAGGAAGAAGAGAATAAGAATGGGGTCGAGACGAGAATATGGTAAAGGAGTGGGCAAAGGAGGAATAAAATAAAAGAATCCCTAAGATTGTATTGCCTTATGATATTCAAATATCTTGGGGTTTACTTTAAATAGCTTAATTGCCACGTGTATTGCAGATGATTAAAAACTTGGCAAGGTGTGAGCTATGTCTACAAAGCAAGAAAACTATGAGGTGTTTCTTTTGTTGAAAAATAATGACTTTAGTTTGTAATTGAAGTGTAAAGAATTTCATGCAAGCAAGTAGTCCCTCTACTCCCCAGCCCCCCATCCATGCCAACATCTGCTTTTTCCCTTATGCAACAAATAAATCTTATCTCTGAGAGTGTGATCTGTGGTTTAGAATTCCGACCTCTCTGTGCCTTTTCCTTGCAGTGTTGGGAAGGTATGGAAGGATGCTGCCTTGCTGCTTGGTGCAGGCGATTCTTCCTAGTGATAAATTGGATTCCTCCCAAATCTCTCTGAGCCACACCCAGTGTCACCCAGGGACTTAGTGAATTAATTAAACTGAACCATTTTATTTAATATAATTGAAGCTTCTCATTCTTCTTTTTTTTTTTAATAGTGATTTTCACCACAAGTTTCCAAATTTAAACAGAAAAAACATTTGAAGGGCATTTCCTTTCTTTCTTTCTCTCTCTCTCTCTCTTTCTTTCTTTCTTCTTCTTCTTCTTCTTCTTTTTTTTTTTTTTTTTTGCCAAATTGTCTGGACTTGCAGAGAACCTTAGAAAATTCATGGTGAGTCTAGAAAGTGTTCATTTCTGGTGACTCTATAATTCCTTCTAACCCAGGCCAGGGTGCATACACAATGAGCCCTGATCTCTCCTGCTGAAAGAGTCTGTGTAACTCTCTTTCCCCACCCCCTCCCCTACCAACCCATGCTGAGGCAACTGGAATAAGAAAATGCAGAGTTAATTTTCTTTCTTGCTGAGCTGGCAAAACTACAGAACCCTCCTTTGATGTTTCACGCTAAAGGGCAGTACTCCTGTTCACTGAGAGGGAGAGTGGTTTGGGGTCTCCTTTGCCTCTGTCAGTGAAATTGCCAGTGTTATGCCTGGGGCTGAATTAATCCACAGACTTCAGACTTTTACCTGGCCCCATGAGGAAGGGTACTGGTGCTCTTTCAGGCAAGAATAGAGCATACATATTAACCAATCATATTGATAAAGTAAGACAAGTCTTCTTCTATTAATAGTTCAAAGAATGCACATAACCAGGTCATCTCAAGAGAAGGTACAGCAGCATTTAACTCTTCACTTCCCTATTTCTATTAATAAAGGCATTAGGGCAACCAAGCAGTGGCTGTTGCAAACCAAAGAAGTGATTTCATGCAGGAATTCTCCCTTTTGAATTTCTGAAGTGTGGTCAGGTTGCTTTTGTACCTTTGTAATAAATCTTCATAACATTTTCAGAAGTGTTGGGAAGAATATTATACTCTGAGTCCTTAGTGGAAGCCACTTACTGACTATGATTTGAATGAATCACATCACCTTGGGCTTCAGTTTCCTTCTGTAGAATGAAGAGTAAAAATCAAAAACCAAACACACATAAACACCTTGCTTACCTTAAGGATTTTTGTAGGGCTTAAACGTACTTGATGTGAAAACAAAGATCAATATAAGAAATATTTTTCTCCCTAAGTTTTGCAGTGTGAGGCTTGTCTTAGCGCCCCCAGCTTTGCAGGATGATCCAGTGCCTGCTGTGTCTACTTTTCTCTGTTAGAGATGAGTTCCTTCTGGTCTTAGTTGAGCCTTCTGCTTGTGCTATTGCTCCTCCCCCGCCCCGCCGTGTTTTCCCTAGAACCCCACTCCTTCACGCCCTGCTCTCTCTTGAGATTTCATCTTCTCATGCTGCACT